TTTAAACTTTCCAACAACCCCATGAAGACATTAAGGTGCCCAGTTTTTAAATACATGTTTAAGCAGCACTCGGCTCAGGAGTGGTGGGTCTGGAATTTGAACCCCAGTCAGTCGGACTCTCTCTTTAACCTGTGCTCTTAACCAGTGGGGTGTCGCCATTTAAACCCTGGCTCTGCCACTCTGTCACACGGGCTTTCTGATGCTGAGCAAAATTAAAACCTCTCTAAGCCCAATTTTCTAATTTATAAAACTGTCAGAAATTAAGAAGATAATATGTTAAGTGGCCAGCACAGTGCCTGACACACCACAAATATGCTGCATCCATCCTACCAATGAGTACTTATGGAGCACCTCCTACGCGTCCACACGGGGAGGGGCCGAAGACACAGCAGCGGGTGAGACAAACCAGGTCTCCGCCTGCACAGGTCTGTGCAGCATCTCAGCAAACATTTCACAGATGAAACAAGCTTTCAAGGGGCTCTGCCAGCCTCTGTTCTACCTCTCATCCATCAGCCAGTTATTCAGCTATAAAGCAATCGAATGAGGGCCTTTCCCTACTTAAATCCTTCATCGTCAAAAAAAAAAAAATCCAAATTTCTTAACACAATATGCTAGAATGGCTGTAGGTAAGTGGCCCAGTTCTTCTCCCCACCCTACTCCCCTCCACCTGCACTTCTTCAAGCAATGAAAACCTTTCTTCATATGACATCTGTTTGGAAGCCTGAACTGAAAAACAGATCAACAGAGACCTAGTCTGGCAACAGGCATGAGAATGGAGGCCCCAGTCTGGCATCCTAACCCCTTCCCCGCCTCCCCAAGCGTGTGCGCGCGCACACGGCTGCAGCTCCCAAAGCAACGCCATGGGTTCTGTCACACAGACTGAAAACCAAGCTTCCCATTGGTGTTGTTCTAACTGCAGGGCACAGTCCATTAGTGGGTTATGAAATCAATTCAGTGTTTGGAATCCGCAATTTGGCAAATAAAAGTAAGAGTGCAGTACATGAACTAATGGCCAAGTACTGGTATATAAAACCCATTAGATATGCACACACAGACACTCATGCACTAAACTGTGGCATAAACTGTATTTCTTAGTGTGGATCATGGTCAGAACGACTTGAGAGCCCCTGTATGACATTCTCTGAGCAGCCTCAGTTCCTTCCATGTTTCCTCAGTCACATAAAACTCCATCCGCAGCAAGCCACTTGCAGTCCCCCAAACGTGTCTTGCTCTTTCACTTCCGTGCCTGTGAGTGCACATGCCAGGCCTGGTGCTAGGCACTGGGAATGCACAGTGAGAAAATACAAGGTCTTGCCCACATGGCATTCAACAATCTAGACAAATATCCTACAGGTACCCCTGATTAATATATAACTGAACCAAAATAAGCAGTCTAAGTGTAACAAATATGCATTTTCAAGAACATTTATCAAAGGCAGTTAGTCTAAGGGGACAAAGGAGGCATCCCTGAAAAAGAATCAATGAGCAGAATCTAAAGAATATTGCAGAGCTAACTAGGTAAGAAAGTGGAGAGCGCATTCCAGACAGAACGGAATACAAGCAACCCTGGGAGGAGAGAAGACATGGCATATCTGAGAAACTGAAGAAGAGGCCAGCATGGCAGAGCCCACAGAACAAGTGGGCAAGAGGTCCAAGATAACTGGAAAACCTGGCAGTGACCAGAGCAGGGGGGTCTTATGGGCTAGGATTTTGTGTTCTGTCCACAGAGTAAGGGGAATCCATCGGGGGGATGTCAGCAGGAAATAATGAAAAAGGAGTTGTGAAACACGGTATCTACAGTGTGGATGGGCTGAGGGGAGGAAGGAGTGGCTGCCTGGGGACCAGTTAGACCATGGAATAGTCCAGGTGAGTGGTGACAGTGAACTGATTTACTATCTTGGAAACTGGGGGAGGCAAGAGAAGGTGGTGGTGCTGAACAGAGGCTGACTCCTAGGTTCTGGCTTGCATGGCTGGCTGGATGGTGCTGCCAGCTAAGGGTAAACTGGAAAAGACCAGGTCTGGAGAAGACTATGGATTCGACCTTGGATAAGCTGCATTTATGGTGACTTTGAGTTAGGTATGTGTCCTGAAAGAACCTGGAAGCCATGAGTATACAGACGGTGAATGGAACTGGGCATATGAGAGTGAGGAAAATGCCTGGGGTTGAGCCCTAAAGGCCTCTCCGTTTCCTGGTGTTCTATTCCTACCTGCTGTAAATGTGTATGATTACACCTCATTAACCACACAATCACACCTACTTTAAAGTTGAAATATAGAAATAAAAAAATAAAAAGTGGAAGTCTGTTCACTCCTCGGGTAATTAAAATCAACAGCTCAATACATACCCATATATTTTTTAAAAATGGGATTATTCTATGCACACTTTTCTATAATGTTTCTTTTTTAAATCAGCAATGTAGTAAATATACTCTTCTATATCAGAGTCTATATAGTTCTATCTTACTCAGCTGAAGGGCGATGAAGTATTATTATATGGTAGGATTGTAGGGCAACAAAGTATTATTGCATGGTAGGGCTGTATCATAATTTAACAAACCCCCGTGGTTCAGTCACCTGCTCATTCCACTGTCTCCCTCCTGCCTTGCTCACCAAGCCCTGATTCTGTTCCAGCACAACACGATCAGCCTCAGGTGATGGTTCATGATTGGCTTACGTCATTTAAAACCATGCTGTTGTCCACCTTTGCTTTATTTTGTTTAGGTTTTAAAATACTTTTTAAAAATGCACTGATTTTAGAAAGAGACAGAAATACTGAGTTGGTGTTCCACTTATTTATGCATTTACTGGTCGCTTCTTATATGTGCCCTGAGTGGGCATCGAGCCCACAACACTTAGTGTACTGGGATGATGCTCTAACCAAATGAGCTACCCATCCTGGGCCCATGACCTACCCTTTTCAACTTCCCTTGCAGCTTTGGGCAGTCATGTCATCAGGTTCTGGCTAATGAACTTAAGGGGGAGTTCGCTATGACAGCTTCTGAGTAAGCTTTTGCTTTCCTAATAAAAGAGAACGAACATGAGTACTACTCTCTCTACCCTTTCTTCCTATTTTGGACATAAATGTGATGACTGGAGGAAGCTCCACAAGTCACTCTGCAACTTCAAAGCCATAAGCCAGCGCTGAGAATAGTAGAGCAGAAAGGCGGAGAGGAAGCCTGGGCTGACACGAATAGACACACACAGGAACACTGACTCATTTTAAAGAATCCAAATATATTTCCAACTTTAAAGTCTAAAAAATTAAAATAAAACGTTCTGAATCAAAGATTCAAAGACATAAGTGATGCTCTACAAAAATAAGAAGCACATTTAGAACAAGATGCTAGAGAAAATACTTCCAACTGTTCCTGAGACGCCGTCACGTGTCGGGGCCAGAAACGCCTTCCTGGCTCCCTGCAAGCACACGCCGGCGTCCTGCAACTGGACCTTGGTGCACAGCCTCCGACACCTCTCCTGCTGCACTCTGTGAGCTCTACCTCCTTCTGCCTGCAGTTTGTAAATGTACCAAATTAAGAAATAATCATTTACATGGACAGTTGAAAGGTATTTGATTTGCGTGAACCATTACTTTTCCTAAGTTTATAACTAGAATAAAAATGAAACAATCAGAAGTGAAAACTGTTTAAAAGAAAAAAATTCCTCTCAAGAGAAAGTGCTTCCTAGCTATTTATTCTAGAACTCCATTATTTTGCTCTAATGTTGATGGTTTCTTCTGTTCTCAATTTTACCAGCTTCTCATGTTCTGACAAAAATATAAGATGTTAGATTTCTCAAATTCAGCAACTTATAGCTCCACTTAAAATAAACACTTAAGGCTATTAAATTAATGTATAATGCATAATGTATTAAATTAATGTATACTGTGTGAATAAACTATAATTTAAAATATTAGAAACAAAATGATTTTATGTGTAATCCAAATTGTACATAATTCTTATCTATGCTTCTAAACAGAAGCTCACATTTGTACTACTTCTACAGTTTACAAAGTGCTCTTATATACATTTTCCCATTTTCTACCCTAGACAGACATGTGAGATAAATATTATTTCACAGTTGGAAATGAGACCCAGACATTGCGAGTGCTTTAACCACTATACAGTATAGCCCTGAGACTTTGATCTGAGAACAGTTTTAATAATACAAATATCACATACATTTCGATTTTTATCACCATTTTCAAGTTTCCATTTTCTTAACAAAGAAAAACAATGAAAAGTTTTGTGCAATCTGATAATAAAAATGGGAAATATATAGACAATATACTAACCCAGTGAGTACGATCTACCAGGAAAAAAGTCTACTTTGGTACTTCTATGTTGCTGCTTACATACAGGGCACCAGAACCAAACCACATTTAAGTGAATAATGTTTTTCTATTTTAGAGAAAAGAATGCAGGCAACTCCTGTTGCCTCCAAGCCTAACATACGTCTACATGTGTTAGGGTGTATAGGCAGCCAGGAAGGACATAGAAAAATACTTTATCCAGATCTGGAGTTCTAGGGCCTCTGATTATCCCAGCTTAGGCCTAAAGGGACTTGACAATTTGGTAACATGTCTTGTCTTTTAGTAATGAATTTCTTTTTATTTTCCCATTCCCTTTTCTTTCTAAGCACCCTATACCATTTAGGCTAGAAATTCCAACAGGTAGCCTTTCTTTCTGAATTATCTTTTCTTCTGTACAACTGTTTTTCAGAATTTCCCCTTCCTATTCCAAATCTTGAAGACATTTCTTTATAGATGAGGGAGCCAGAGCTTATGCTCACTGCCAGGAGAGAGTCAGACCTGAGTTCCCCAGCACAGAGCTGAGGGAAACCCTGAACAAAGGATGGTGGTCCCTGGCAGAGCAGAGCCACCTGCACTCGGAAAGCTGTGTGCAGCTCCCCAGCATTTGAAGAGATCCCTTTGTTACTGCTCTGACAATTTAAGAAGGAAGATTCTGGCTGGTAGTTTAAATCCTTGGTTCAAAGAATCACTCTTTTTGATGTTATAATGTTTTTATTGCATTTGAGAACATTTTCAATAAATACTTCAGTTTGAGGCCTTGGCTAGGCACTCTGTAGTAGAAATCAGATTTCTGTGGCAAAACTCTATCGTCAGAAATGGGATTTATCAAAACTACAAATGCTAGCACACTGAATATTTCAATACTATACTCAATTGTTCATATCTAAATACTTCAGCTATGAAACAAACCAATGTAAATGCTTAATATATAGTACAAATCAACAGATTCTTCACAGAAGAAAACATGGAAGGCTAATTTTCTATGTGTCACCGGTTTGTTAGTTTTTCAATAACATTACTTACGTTATTTCAAGGATAAAACTTACACACCACTGCCCATTTTTCCTCAACATTTTTTATCTAAGTTCTAAAGGGCATAAACAAGAATGTATATAATCAGAATTGTTTTTATAAACTTTTGATTTTTTTGTTGCACATCTTACAATAATGAGTCTATGCAGACAAGGACAAAGGTACATTTAAATCATTAGTGGGTACATGAATTTTACCTACATGGCTAGCTACTCATATGCATCTTATAAATGACAAGATAGAAATAACAAAGTTTGATAAGCTGATCCATGCCCTGTGAACTTTAATGCACTCATCGAATAACTTGATTAAGTCACTATTTATTAGGGTTTAAAAAAACCTACAAACCACACTTTATTACACATTTTTGAATCATGAGGGGGTAAACTGTGATACAGTACCCTCATGCCACTGGCTCTTTAGGAGGGAAAGGTTCTTCAATGAAATAAGAGTTTCCAGACTCTGTTAAAAAAGCTTGAACTGTGTTCTATGACTGACCTTCACTCTACAGTCCCTTTGACCCAAGGCACTGTCCCTAGTGCATCTTGTTGAGGTTTAGTTTCAGGGAAGTTTTCAGCAAACCTCTCTCGTGCTTTCTCCCAGTTCTTTTTGCTCTTGTTTTGGAGAAGGTGCACATCTTCAATCGAGGATGGTGTGCCCGTCCCCAAGCCTGCATGTGTTCGCCGAAGCTGAAGCTGGATCTGTTACCCAAGGTAGAGCAGAAGGCTTATTTACCATACAAGTCAAAGCACACTGAAATCTGCTCTGTCCGACTTGGTATTTTAACTATAATTCTTTGATTTAGAAAAGATTAATGCAAAAGAAAAACCTATCAAATGCAACAGATACAGACAGGAATACCTACATGATTATAAATGGAACTTTCATAAAAACTCATTTTTCTGCATTGTCTTGCTTGTCAATAAGGACAGCTGACACTGCTCCTAAAATAGCACTGAATTTCACTGAAATGCTGCAGAATCTGCCATCCCACTGTACCCAAAGGTAAAGGCAAGAGATGTATTTAAACCTACTGTCCTAGCCTCACCTAAGTAAGTGAACAGGTAGGTTAAACATTGTCATAAAGAGAACGTGATTGCTTAGTTTCATAAGAGAGGAATACTTCTCATTACTTTGAAGACCATTAAAAGCTACCAGTTACTGAGTGCCTAATGTATGTCAGGCACCATGCTGAGGCCTTTATCTTCACGATATCACTGAAAAACAGTTATTACCATCCCCATTTTTACATATGAAAGCTGAAGTCCAAACTTGCCCTAAGTCCCACAAATATTAAGTGACACAGCACATATTCTAACCTAGGTCTGACAATAAAACAGAACCTATTTGTAAAATAACATTATACCTGCTCCTGCAATGCTTAGTACCAGGAAATCATTAAAAATAACTAAAAGATACAGGAAAACCTTTGGCTCAGGAAATAACATTTACTGTCCTAGTTCCACTGAAGAAAACTTCAATTCTAAGAGGCTTCCTAAAAACACTAAAAGCAAAACAATGGCCCTGGCTGGTGTGGCTCAGTGCACTGAGTGCCAGCCTGCGAATCAAAGGGTCGCTGGTTCGATTTCCAGAATCACAGCACATGCCTGGGCTGCAGGTCAGGCCCCCATTAGGGGATGCGTGAGAGGCCATCACACACTGATATTTCTCTCCCTCTCTTTTTCTCCCTCCCTTCCCCTCTCTAAAAATAAATAAATTCTTTAAAAAAAGAAAAAAAAGCAAAAACAATGCACACTTATATATTTGGTAATCAAGAATGCCACAAAGGCAGTAATCATCTGTTTTCACTTGCTACTACACTACTAGCTCTTAAGGCAATTCCTGGCACATATCAGGTACATAGTAAACATATCCACTGTAGGAATAAGGAGTGGGAGAAAATGCAAGTCTTACCGGAGTTCTCATTCCTCCACCGTCCTTCCCTAGGCCCTCTCCTTTTCTCCAGCCCATCTTCTCCAGCATCTTCCGACCTTTGTTGCTATCAGTAATTTCACTTATTAAAAAAAAAATTAAGATGGTAGTTGATTTTCTAAAACACCATTTAGGTCACATTTATAATAATGAGTAAGTTAAAAATAACTGGTACAACCACTCTAGAAAACCACTTTGGAAAAGTTAACACTTACGAATGAACAGATGCAGGAGCATCATCCCTCTGGAAAGTTCCTTCACTTCCAATCTGCTTCCTACGTTTTCCTGCTCTGTCTTTATATTTTGGATTCTTCAATGCCTTTTCATCTTCGTAGTCTGTATTCTTTAAAAACACAAAATATTCATTGAAAAAAAACACAAAGCTGGTAAATAAAAATGTAATGTCTGTATATTTGCCTCACTTTGCAAATATGGTTCATTGCGGTCTCTATTAATCAATGAATTAAAACCATGACGTAAATAAAAGCAATTATGTCATTGAATATACTATTTTTATTCTATCCCCTTTAAGATGTTTATGTTATCTGAAATTGTACTGTAACACAAATTGTATATAGAATATAAATATGTAAATTACAATATGTAATCATAAGATAATGAAATACAGTTTACTTTGACTAACGCTATGCATTCATATTCTCATATTAACTACCAGTATTCAAAAAAATATGCAGAACCTCTGGGGTTGGAAAAAAATCTATTTCTCCTTTTCTCTAAGGACCTAAAAGTTTAATTACTGCTCCTTAGAAAGGAAAATGTATAAAGTCTTTTTAAAAATGGATAAAAAGCAAACACTCTTTTATTTTAGTAATAAATAATAGCTTTTGGTTTCAATACAGCTCCATTCGTAAAATTAATCAGTCGCTCAACAAATATCTATTGAATAACGAGTGTGTTAACTCCAGGCTAGGTGATGGAATGCAAAGAAATTTATAATCCCATAATACATACATAATCTTTAGTGTGATTGGTTCAACCAAAAAAGAGTACACAGTATGTGGCAATGGCACAAAGAGGTAGTCCATTCAGCTTGTGGCATCACAGAACACTTCTCTCCACCCTTCCTTATTACTTGCTGATCTTTAAATAAAAAGTATGGTACTGCCCCGGCCAGGTGGCACAGCTTGTTGGAGAATATCATCCCATGTAGCAAGCGGTTGTGGGTTCAAATCCCAGTCAGGGCACATACCTAGGTTCAGGTTCAATTCCCAGTTGGGGTCTGTATGGGAGGCAACCGATGAATGTTTCTCTTTTACATGTATGATTCTCTCTCTCTCTCACCTCCCCTACTAGCTCCAAAATCAATAAATATATCCTTGTGAGAGGATTAAAAAAAAAGAAAAAGTATGACATTCATCCACAGAGATGGCACTTGCTCCACTCTCTGTAGGATTTCAGTCCCTTCCAGCGCTTCCCCCAAGCAAACTGGGCCTTTCTGGTGCTAATTCCCATGTGTGTGGGCTTGTGCACGTTCTAAGACCCCGTGGGTCTCTCCAAGGAACTCTCCTATGAGGCTGCGAGTCTCACCCGGCATCTCAACCCCCACAGGTATTTTCAATCAGTTCCCTGAGGCTCTGTTTCCCAGCACTGGGACCCTGGGTTGTGAGGTCTGTCTTGCTCCTCAATTTCACCTGGTTTATCTGCACTCAAATGTGGGACCACCTGGTCAGCCTTGCGTGCAGTGCCTTGCTTCACAATCGCCACCTCACTGGGCCTACCAGCCGCTGCCTACATGCCCAGGGTCCAGCCGCTGCAGTCTTGCATGCCCAGATGCCTTATGCGCCTGGTGCCACAGCTTTTTGTGCTACATTTTGTGCCACAACCCCTCTCCACCCAGCTGCCTGACTCTGTCCTTCCTACCGGTCTGGATGAATGTGTCTATTTTAACCCTTGGTTGTCAGACTTCCATACAGTTCAATTTTCTGTCGGTTTTGGTTATTTTATTTCTGAATTGTTGTTGTCCTTATTTTGGTTGTGCGAGGAGGCACAGTGTGTCTACCTATGCCTCCATCTTGGCCAGAAGTCTGTATATCTATTTTCTTCACCAAATTATGGAAGTTTTCTTTGTTTTTTTCAAATAAGTCTTCAATTTCTTGCTCTCCCTCTTCTCCTTCTGGCAGCCCTATGATTTGGATGTTGGTAAATTTAAAGTTGTCCCAAAAGCTCCTAAGCTTCTCCTCATTTTTTTGGATTTTTTTTTCTTCTTGCTGTTCTGATTGAATGCTTTTTTCTTCCTTGTGTTCCAAATTGTTGATTTGATTCTCAGCTTCATCCCCTCCACTCTTGGTTTCCTACAGATTTTTCTTTCACTTAATGTAACCTTCATTTCTGCCTGGGTCTTTTTATGCTGTTGATGTACCCAATGAGTTTTTAAGCACCCCAATAACCAGTGTTTTGAACTCTGCATCTGACAGGTTGCTTATCTCCATTTCATTTAGCTCTTTTTCTGGAGTTTTGTTATGTTCTTTCATTTGGGACATATTTCTTTGTCCCCTCAATTTGACAGCCTCCCTGTGTTTGTTTCTGTGTATTACGTGGAGCTGCTTTGACTCCATCTTAGCTGCATGGCCTATTATACAAAAGAGCACCTTGAAGTTGTATGTGATGGAGCCTTAGGTCATAGCCAGAGTGGGGCAACCCACGTCACCATTCTGTGGCTCTGTGTGGAGGAGGGCTTGGAGAGGGGACAACACCATCCAGATTATAGAGTTTTGCCCAGGAGGAAGCTGTCTTCTGGCACTTGCCCTGTTGCCAGTCTCTTCAATTTCTCCCCATATGCCACTGGTGCACTTCTAGCTATTGCCCTGGCACTGAATCTCCCAGAGGGGGTAAATCTGTGTTAAGTCCTATGTCTGTTGTGGGCCCTTTAAGAGGAGTCTCCTGAGAAACCGGCAGTTTCTTCTGCCACCCCAACCCCGAGTCATTCATCTTTACACCCAGAAGTTATAGGAACTCATCTTTCTGGTGCTGAAAACCTTGGTTGGGTGGTCTGTTCTGGGGCTAGGATCCTTCATTCCCAAGTTATCCCTTGTTACCCCTTCCAATTTTTATCCATCACACGTGCATGTGGGACCACCCTTTCTGCATCTCTGCACTTCTCTAGGACATTCCATATCTTAGCCCCTCACCGCATCTCTGTGCCTCTCTGTGTCTCCATCCCTCCTTCCCATATGGATGAATGTGGCTTCTTTAAATCCTTGGTTGTTGGACTTCCATACAGCTCAGTTTTCTGACACAGCTGGGTGATACTCATTTTGTAGCCCAGCTGTACTTTTTGCTGAAGTTGTGCAAGGAAGTCAAGTGTGTCTGCCTATGCTTGCATCTTGACCTGACTTCCTATTATCACTTTCTACTTCAACCTCAACAGTTGTTAACAGTAAACAAATAAAAGAAACTATGTAAATCTCAAAGTAATTCTAAATAATTTTACATATAAAATGGACTAAAGGCATTTTTACTCAAAACCAGGTACACAATTTTGAACACATATAGCAATATTTAATATCCTTACCCGCAAACCATATTTTACTCGTATTTTCTTTAATTCTTTTCTCCTTTCCAGCTCTTTTTCCTCCTTGCTTAGTGTTGGACCAACTAAAAGGAAAAAGTGAGTTTGGTTTAAAAAGAAAAATTCACTAAATCTGATAGATTTTATATAAAATTAATGCTTATATTTAATAATTAATAACTAACACTATCAGTAGTCCATCTGTAGATTAATCAAAAGTACAAATAAACATTAATATAAAGAAATCTTGGGTTGTGATGATGTCCTTTCAATATTTGGTAATGCAATCTACTTGGAAAGTAAACCAAAACTCAAAAGATCATAGGAATGTTCCAGTATAGATAACAAAAGAAACACCAAACATCTTAATTTTTTTATATGAGTATTATACAAGAATCCCAAATGCAGAAAATACTGTGAATTTTTCAAAAGAAACATAGGCATGTGCAAAAGAAAAGTCACAGAACCCGAGATTCACGTTATTTTGTAGTTTGTCATACTTAATGTAAAAAAAACTAGTTTTTACTCATTTCAACTATATATTTAAATTTTAAAAGCCTTAGATGACTGGGTTTAAAGCAAGACAGCATCTTCCTGCAGTGTTATTTACTATAGAAAATAATGGTATATATAAGGATGATGGATCAACATAAACTGTAAGTAGGAAAGTAAACATATCAGCCAATAACTCTTAATATTTTGGCCTATTATTTTCTATGTTACAATATTATATGACAGAGTTTAATGGTGGATGACTTTTTCATATCAATAAACAGATGTTAAAAGGAAACCGATTTCTATTGCAGTTATGTCACAATTACTCTTTTGAAGAACATTTAGCTACCACTGCAGTGTTGCTTCAAAAGCCAACTAAACTAGATTAGCAAAAACAGAGCTAATGATTATCTCCTGGTCAAAAAGTAACCTAATGCTATAAAAGCTAGCTAAGTTATTACACAGAAAAGTCACGTACAATCATAATCGACTAGCTTATGTTTCAAATTTGAAAAACATTTCATTTCTGAATCTCATTTGATAATATTCATGGAAATATAAATGATCTCAATACAATATTATACCAAAATTCCTTATATAGAGATATAAAGCTAGTAGCCAACTGATACATTTTAAGAACACTCCAGTGAATTAAAAAGGTTTCATGCCCACGGATAACAGTATGTCTCACATACCAAAAGGTTCATCTTTCTTATCAAGACGAAGGTGAGCTCTGACCTGCCCTGGCTCACAGCCATCACAGGTGTCACTGCCAGGGTGAATGTGAAAGGACAATACAGTCTCCCCAATTTTCACTTCATCTCCATGCTCAAGTATGTAAGGATCACATTTAGTTTTAGGCTGAGGGGAAGAATCACAAAACAGAAATCCAAAAGTGTTAGATATGATTATTTTATGTCAAACGGAAGTAATGTCTCATTATAACAAAAACATTTTTGGAGACGATTCTCAATGACACAGACACACATATGCACACACATATCCACAACCTGATGACCCATGATGCTCTACTATTGGCTAAGATAGCTGAACCGAGAAACTGCTGGTTTTTATATTATCCAACACAACAAAGTCCTATCTCCATCATGCCCAGTCCTGCCAGAGAAATACCCGACACAAACTGCTAAAAATCTATTACCAAAACAAATAATCACAGCAAAAAAGATGAAGTATTAAGGGGATAAGTGTATCATTATTCTCCTTTTACCTCTTCTTTTCTCATGATAATTCAGTTTTATTTCATTTTTTATTCTTATAGGCTAAGAACAAGAGCCAAGCACTTTGCTAGCTCTAAAAACAAGGCATAGAGAGATACATAATTCGAAGTCAATAGCCAAGTATCCACTTATTATATACTTCTTCAGCCCTTTCTGGGAACTCCCTTCCATGTAACACATTTGAACCTGAACACTGACCAAATGATATGTATAATAACTATGGACAATAGGAATTTAAAAATTTGGTTCAATTTTTTAAATAATGTGCAAGTAATTAATTAATACATATACACTCACCTGAAGAATCTGTTTTCCATTAACAACTGTACCATTTTGGCTGCCTTGATCCACAAGAACATAACTTTGTAAGTCATGGTCAAAATAAATTTCTGCATGAAACTTAAAAAAGAAGAAACTAGGTAATTATAAAGTAGCATACTTTTTTAACCATAGATAACAATTTCTCTATGATAGGATGTAAAGGACTTTACTCTCTGATTAAATTTTACTATTTATTCCTTTTTCTGAATACAAAAGCATTATAATACTTCTAGCAGAAATGTGAAGACCACAGATGAAGAAGTCATGTATAATTCCACCTCTAACTACCATTAATAATTTACTGTGTCCTGCCTTTTCTACTTCTATAAATAGTTGGGACAATGCTATAAAAACAATTTGAAATTGTTTTTTTACCTAAGTATTAGTCCATTATCATTAAAAATTCTTAATACAAAAGGTTACTTGAAATATTCAAGGTCAACTTCTCATAGAAGTTTTCCAATTTTTGAATACTCAGGACTAATCACTCTAACCTCGCATCTCAGTGCTTTATTTATATAATACATTATATGAAGTTACTGCACTGTACCGGCACAGTTACTGCTTACATTAGTTTACATTTTTGCTTACCTCTCAGTACATAGAACAGTGCTTCACATATACAGAACATGTATTCAATACATGTCTCTTTAATTGGATAAACAGCTGCAGAAATATTTAATTAAAAATTTCATGTACAATACAATGTGGTAGATGCTGCAACTGTTTTGGCAGGGTCTGGCAGTTTCTCAAAAGGTTAAACCGAGAGTTACCATACAACCCAACCATTTTACTCCTGGGTATATATCAAGAGAAATGAAAAAAATACATCCAAACAAAAACTTGTACACAAATGTTCATGGCAACAGTATTCTTAATAGCCAAAAAGTGGAAACAATTCAAATACCCATCAACTGATGAATCACGAAATGTAGTATATCTATACAATGAAATATTATTTGGCAATAAAAAGAAATTAAGTACTGATATATGATACAACATGGATGACCCTTGAAGACATGCTAAGTTAAAAAAAACTAGTTACAAAAGACTACATGTTATATAATTCTATTTACATAAAATGTACAGACTGTACAAATCCAGAGACAGAAAGTTTGGTGGGTGCCTAGTGCTGTGGGGGCTGGAGGGAACTGAGACGTGACCACTACTGACTTTGTTTATATGGTGATGAAAAGGTTCTAAATTGATATGATGAGTGCAGAACTCTGTGAATATACTAAAAGCCTTTCAATTATACACTTCTAATGGGTAAATTATATTAATATATGGTATATCAACTATATTGCAATAAGGTTGTTCTTTTAAAATTTTCATAAACATATATTATAAAATGTTTCAAGCACACAAAACAATATATTGAATCTATCTAACCGGGAACCAGATTTAATAAATTCTGCCATACTTGCCTCAGATATTTAAAATAAATTATCAATCAATGTGCACCTCACTCTGTCCATCCCCCACCCTTCCTTTTCAGAGGTTTGATGTTTATTTAATCAGGATACATCTCTTTGTACTTCTACCACATACGTATGTACCCATAAATGGTATGCTTATTTTGCCTAGTTTGGAACTTGATATAAATGAGTCATAGTGTATGAATTTGTTATTGATATAATTTACATATAGAAAGTTGATAGGCCTTAGATGTACAGGTTAATGACTTCTGATAAATGTATGCTACTGTACCTATTTCTTTTGCTTCTTTGATTTGATATAAGACACACCCATCCAGTTGTTACGCACAGTTGTACCACTTTGCCAAATGGTAATCCTCTGTATAGATGTCCCACAATCTACATACTTTTCTGATAATGAACATCCAGGTTTTTCCCAAGATTTTATCATTTTTTAAAATGTTTCTATGAACATTCTTGTACATGAAACCTTCTTGTGGACAAGGCAAATGTTTCTCAGGGGTATATACTTGGAATAAAATTGCTAAGCTACAGTATATGCAAATCTTAAACTTTATTAAATACTGCCATATTATTTTCCAAAGTGGCTGTACCAATTTATATTCCCAACAGTAGTCTATAAGAATTCTTGTTGCTCTATATAGCCTTAACTAACACTTAATATTATCAAACTTGTTTTACAAGCATAACAGGTGTGAAATTAAATCTTATCATTGTGATTTAAATTTGCATTTCCCTGATTAGTACTGAAGCTGAAACCTTTTCTTGTATTTATTAGCCATTTGGTTTCCTGTTCAGTAAAATTTTCTCTTCATGTCCTTTGTACATTTCATTCAATTGGGTCATTTAGAATAATAACTATATCAAAGGATTTAAATATTCTCAAGTCTTTTTGACTTAAAACCTTATTCGAAAGAGCTGTTCTAAATTATGTTCCCAACAGGAGTGATATTTAATAAATATGATGAAAGAAAACTGACATCTTGGATTGTAGTTCTTAAATTACTAGAAAGATTGAATGCTTTTCATGTTTACTATGATTTTCCTCTACTGTGAACTGTTTATGTCCTTTACTCATTTAACTATTGGGGTCATAGTGAGGTTTTAAAAACTGAATTTGTATGTTTTATTTTTTAAAGATTTATTTATTTTTAGAGAGAGGAGAAGGGAGGGAGAAAGGGGGAAGAAAGATCAATGTGTGGCTGCCTCTAGCGCATCCCCCACTGGGGACATGGCCTGCAACCCAGGCATGAGCCCTGACTGGGAATTGAACCAGCGACCCTTTGGTTTGCAGGCCGGCCAGGGCTGAATGTGTATGAGTTTTAAAATGTAAAGTAAATATTTTGTCATATTTGTCTGACTGTCGCAGTCTGTCTTTAAATGTGTCTTTAACATATAAAGAACTTCAAAAGTGTGGGGGGAGATGAGGGTGTATTAATTCTTTCATCTACCTGCATATGTGCAATATAATATATATTGTCAGGCTGATTTCACACAGTTAATAAATTATTGACCCCACCAGTGGACATGTTAGTTGAAAAGAAAGAAAGAAAAAGCAGAAATGCTACCAGGAAACTACCTATATTTTTAGATTGCAGTGGGGGAAGGACTTCTTTGCTACTTAAGTCACAGATCATGTTTTCTTTGCGGGCAAAGGAATAAAGGGTCACAAGAAAATTAAATAGCATGATAATTTGGTTAGAGTCAAGATTATGAGGATTTACTTCTCTCTAAATGAGTCCAAACATAGTAAAAATAACTACACTTTCAAACTAACAGTGAGAAACAAATTTAATTCCACAAGACAAAAATCATATAAAATATATACTTCAGATCCATTGTATAGACCCATTAAATAGAAACAAAATGGGAATGATTAAAGGTCAAAAAACGAAAAGCAAAAAGAGGAGGGGGAGGGCAGACAACCACACAAGGGAGGAGGAAAAACTACAGAAAATACAGTAAAAAAGATACATATAAAGTATAGACTCTCAGTAGTTAACCTTTCTTCTTTTAACTTATGATTTTGTTGTGGAAAATCCACCCACACGTGGGGAGATAATGAAGAACGAACTTTACTACCCGGGGGCCCAGAGGGGGTGGCTAACATCCAAATCCTCTGAGCACCGATCCTCACTCTCCCGGGATTTAAATAGTCCCGGGCTTCCTACCTACGTGGGGAGGCAGAAGCAAGGTTACAGAAGCCGAATGCGGAAGTTAGGTCTAGCTACCTTATATGGGAGACAAAGAGAAAACTCAGGAGGAATTTGCAGAAGCTACAGAGCACAGGAGCTTATCATGGGAGTCTGTGTACGACCTTGAGTAACTGGCCGTTGCTTTGGTTACGACTTGTCAGCTTCTACAGTCCTGTGTGAAACTTTGCAAGTGTTACAGTTACAGAGCATAAGAAACCTTTGGAGTTTTCTTTTTCCTGCCACAATTTAACTTGCAACTCTGTCCTCATTGTTTGTTTTGAAGACTCAACTGCTCTTTTTCCTGAAAGCAACCATTAGAGACGTAACTAGGAGAAACTGTAAATGAAGAGCTTTGGGTAGGGATAGATCGTTCTTGAGTTGTAAAATACTCTGGACTCAAAGGAACCATCAACTGAAAGTAGCCTGAATCCAGGTCTGATTCATTTTTGAATTGTCATAATATCTAGCATATTCATTTCACTCAATAAATATCCATTAAGTGGGTATACTTAAATACTTAAATTAATCCACTTATTTTATTCCTGCTCCTGACTGTTAAAAGTGAAACAGAAATTAGTTAATTCAAATTGTGGTGAAGAATTTTTCTTTTCTCAAGCAGAATAAACAAATCTGTATTGATTTTATTAGCATTACTACACTGACCATAAAATGGGAAAAACCCTAAGCTTTCTGCCATGATGAGTATTTATAAAATTACATCAAGGTGCTGTATTTGTAAAAGCAAGAGCTTACCTTACTGACACCAACTTCAGGAATTCGGAGAGTATGCTCCATATCTTTTTCCCTGCAGAGTTAAGAAAAACATCTTTAATAATTTTTGAAGCATATAAAAATGTAGCACTTAGAGACATGAGAAGAATTTTTAAAAGATTTTTTGTTTTAAAAGATAATGTTTAAAAAAAAAGATGTTAAAACGCAAGTCTCTCTGTCCCACTAAGTCTAGTTTCCTTAATCATACTCTAAATTTTCTACTTGAAAGGAGGTTCCAGAATTACTTTTATTCTTTGGTACTTCTATCTCAGGCTAACAAATATCCAGTGAGACAATATGACTTGGTACTAATGTCAATTATTTATTCCAGATCTGTTGACTATGTTCCTATCTCTACAACAACATATAAAAGGAGCGCACTGTTCTCCAAAAATTTAAAATTAAGATACTGCATAAAATCTGAATTAAGGATAGAGTATCTTTCCAGTTAAGAAAAGGAATTATCCTACTCACAATTAAAACCTGCCTCTCTAGCAAGCTGGTTCTGAGCTACAAAAAGGAAAAGAAGCAGAGAAGGAAGCCAATATTGGGTTTAGGTAAGTAATTTTACTCTGAAAAAGGCAGTACAAAAGGTAAGAAAATGACAAAATCTCTGTGAAGGGTACCACCGAGATTTTATCTCTTTACATAGGCAGTCCCCTTTTGGGACCATGAAGTTATACCCCTGACTGATTTCCAGAAGCAAGTGACATAAGTAAGTGTCAATAATGTTTTTTGAGTACCATGTATAAATGCTTGAATAATGAGTGCCACACACATTTCAAGGTAATTCTCAGGAAATGTGCGCTCCACTAGAATAAGACAAACAAACATACATATACAATGACATTAAGCATTTTACCTTCCAATTGTAGCAGGGTTTACAGCTGTAATAATAAAAAGAGATCCTGTCTGCAACACTGGTGATCTAATAACAATTACTCTGATACAAGGGGGCCAAATTTTTTCTTCATCTGCCAAGGAAACAAGTGGGTAAACGTTAATTCAAATGCTATGGAAAAAAATGAGAAATGTCTAAGGAAAGTAGTAGGCATCCATAAAATAAAAATGTATTGATCAAAAGGCTTAATTCTGTTTTAAACAACCTTAAATCCTGCTATATGCACAATCTGTAAGGCTTGACACTGTTACCAATTTAAAGTGATCAACCTAAAGGTATTCAGCAAAGTCAGCCTAAAGGTATTCAGCAAAGTCAGCATATATCACAATCATCAAATAATCACCTCTCATTTGTAAGGTCTTAGAATTTGAAAATATCACAAACACGCATTTTAATATTAAGTTAGAACATTTAAGTCTACCCTTTTTAAAAATATAAGAAATTCTATTAAGAACAAAATAAGCTCATATACCCTAATATGAAACCCTGGGTTTTAAAAGTATGTCTCTATATCCTCAAGTAAAACACACACACACACACACACACACACACACACACACAATTTATAATACATAGTTGAATTGGTGGACTGCACTTTTTAAAGGCAATTTGCTCTACTTCTCTCAATTATGACTTAATATGTACTTTAGGATTAGGCATAGGTAACTTGGTTTTCTGTTCTATTGAATAGACCATTCAATCCAATGAAACTTTAAGGTCCAAGTGTTAGCCATTTATTCACATTTTACTCCCTAAGAATAACCAGTGGTAGCCCACATAACTTTTAATGATGTAATTTAAAACAATCAGTTTACTTTTTTGGCAGACACATTATACTAACATTTTTAATTGTGTTGCTCTGTTTACAATGACCAGACTGGGACATTTGTGTAAAATTAAATAATGGTTATTTACTTACCTTCATCCTCAGTATCTTCTGCAGTTACATTATCTTCACTGGTAGTGTCTTCTTCGTAATCATCCTCAGTCTGAGAGTCTGTAATTTCACCTTCTTCTGGCTCACTATCAGTCTCTATGATTTTCTCATCTTTAAATGAAGTTGAATTATAAATGTTTTCATTAAGAGGAGATTCTATAGACTTTCCAGTCACTGGGACAGTGAATTTGGGGGAACTATTTTTGTAACCAATGTCTATTTTGGACTTCTTTCTCACATTTGCACAATCTTCTCCCTCACTGTAGTTTATATGTTCAATACTGGATGCTTTTGGATCTTCTGAATTCAAATCCTAGGAAAAGGTGGATAGGGAGGATGATTTTAAACATGACCATCCTATAATATTAAATGATATAGTGAATTAGTGAAGATATATGTGCAAAGAAATAACAATAGCTATTATCTTACCCCTCTTCTGCTCACGTTACCTTTCTTTGTCAAACACATCACCATCTACTTAGCATCCAAATCAAAAATCTTGTATTTGACATCCCCTTAACCACCACATGGAATTAATTACCAAGCGATACAGACTATGTTTACAATTTATCCCAATTCTCTCTTTACCTATTTTCAATGTCCTGTCCCAGTCCAGGCCCTCATCATATATTGCTTGGACCAGGTGACAGTCTAGACCAATGCTGTCTAATAAAAAAACAATGCAAGCTGTATTTATAATTTAAAATTTTCTAATAGGCACATTAAAATAAGGTAAAACAAAGGAAGTGAAATTCATTTTATTATTTTATCTAACCTGGTATTTACAAAATATTATCATTTAATATATATTAATATTTAATCAATATAAAAACGACCAATGAAATATTTTACATGAATTTTTGGTACTGTCTTCAAAACTGAGTCCTGCTTACACTTAAACACATCTGAATTATGGTCAGCTACACTCCCAGTGCTCAGTGCCTTACTGCACAGTGAAGGCCTGGAGACTATCTAACCTAAATTTGTCTTGAACTTTAAACCAATTATCAAGTCAACACATAAAATACAGTACTGACTTTCATTACAGCAGAGACGTAAAGATCCATATGTACCTAGTGTAGTAGAACAGTAGTTTTGCTAAAATTTAGCACTTTATAAGTTGGTTTGATAATACACAACAGTTTAAAGTAGAGGTGAATCAATTACATCTCTTTTATTCCAAAATTCGAACGTACCTGGCATAAGCCTTTTGTTATTATACAATTATACTGGGCATACCTTTTGATATATGAGCAAATCTATTATTTTAACCATAGAAGAAGCAGTTATTGTCCTTTTTTTCCTTTGGTTTGTGAAACACTGAATTTTCTTTCTACCTTGCAGACACATGATAAAGTGAATTCATATGTTCTTCTGTTATTTTATAAAATATAAAAGCATCTTAAATACATATGTTTACCAGCAGCATAAATTCAATTTGGAGACTGACTACACTCAGTGTGATGAACTATATACACTTCGAGCAGCATAAACTCACCAAGACAAGAACAAGGGGAAGGAGTTGAACAACTATGAACTTTAGAGGTCACCATGAATTATAGCAATAAGTTTCCCTAGCTATGAGGCCTGTCCAGAAAGTATCCAGACACACAACACAAAAAATAAGGACATTTATTGAAGAAAATACAAGACACAAGGAACACTGTACACAGGACAATGACATCTCAGTGCCCCCTTCAAAGTAGGCACCTTAGGAGCTAACACAGTTCTCCCAATCACCATCAGCTGTCCTGTCGTATTTTTCCTAAATCTAATAAATGGTCTGAAATCTCTTCCCCTTCAAAGGTGATTTTAGTTTTGGGAAAAGCCAGGAGTTACAGGGCGCCAAATCTGGGCTGTAGGGGGTGGGGAGTGAGTCACCTATGTAATCTGATGTTTCACCAAAAAACTGCACCAGACGTAATACATGAGTGGGTGTGATGTTGTGATGAAGCTGCCAGTCACCAGCTGCCCATAGCTGCAGCCTTCTGATTCATCCCAATAGTTTCCCAGGAGAAATGTTCAAGCTTAACACAAAATCTGATGCAGATTCATTGCTCTCCTTGCTTAGTCATTTTGAATGTGATGGCCACACAGCACACATGCTTGCTTACTCAATGGCATCTACCACCCCCACTGACTAGTACAGTGAAGTTGTCATTGTTCACACATGTGCATTCCAGTCCACTCTCCTTGGCTGCCAGGTTACATCCATGTCACATAAACCATTGTGGTTTTATTAACAACGGTTAGACTCTTTCCACACAGACCTCATATATATACTTTAAAGAAAGCAGTTTCTAATTTTGTGTATGTCATTATCACTACTTACAGGACAACACAAGCAAGGAAAAAAATGAATGAAATTGCCAGAGGTGCTACTTTTTTTTAACTATTTGTCACCTGGCTGGTGTAGGTCAGTGGATTGAGCTCAGGCCTGCAAACCAAAAGGCTGCAAGTTCGATTCCCAGTCAGGGCACATGCCTGGGCTGCAGGCCAGGTCCCTGGCGGGGGGGTCATGACAGGCAACCACACATTGATGTTTTTCTCCCTCTCTTTCTCCTTCCCTTCCCTTCTCTCTAAAAAATAAATACAATCTTAAAAAAAACCTATTTGTCAGAATGTTAAATATTCATTAAGAGATAAGAAGGGGGCCTATATGTGGGGATTGAGGCATATATGCATATTTGTGTTATTTACTCCATTCTCCTCAATCTGCTCTCTTCTTTCCCCATACCCTCCACCTACAAACAACGAGGCTCAAGAGTATCTTTAAAAATAACAAAAAGGTGAGGATGTCTTAACTGGTCCCCCATGCTTCACAACTACCGTTTAGAATCCTCAAGGAATTCTCAAAATTCTATCAAGACTTTTTCTTAAGTCCTTGTCCTAGAGTTCATATATTTTTGAAGAACGATGGTAAAAAGAAGCAGTTATAGGAGCTAACTGAACCAAAACCTCACTGAATGCTTTCAAACTTCACTCTCTAGTTTGTCAGGAAAGGCTTTTTGATGACCCTTTGAAGTTCTTCTCTTATTGCTTGGGAGAAATACTTTTACAGCCGGCCTATCCTCTCAAGCAGTTCAACTACCAGTAACAGGTAGGAGTCCTTAAAACAGTTCTTGAAAGCAAAGAGAAAAATCATTTTTTGAATTTTAGCCACATATTCTTCTATTTCTTGGTATTGTCAGTGAGAAGACTAGAGAAATAGAAACAAGTCAAATAGAGAACAAAGAACAAACTCAACAGAATCCCAATTCCTTATTTGAACTTTGGTGTTATACATTTAAAATTTTTTGTCTTTGGTTAAGAAGAGAAAAACATGAGGTAAAAATTTAAGAGTGAAGTATCAAATAATTGCCACAATTCGCAAAATGCCAATACAACAAATAAGCCTTCTTTCCTGCCTATAAACCATCAACCTCATCTGTGCAGTGAGCAGAAATAAGAGCAGTAATAACTTTTTAAATGTTTTCTTCTTTCAATTTAACCTTGTGTAACTGTTTCTAAAATTCCCCTCATTTTTTTATAACTACTATTTTAAGGCATAGATAATACTTTTTCAATTAAAAGTATTATCATTTTTTTAACCAATATCATGTGGGCCATTTGAACTTTTAATTTTGTTCTGTTCTTATAAATATTGCTATATACTATACGAAGGCATTTTTCTTTCTTTAGACTTAAAAAATAAAAAATTCCCAGAAATGAGAGTTTCTAATGGAAAATTATCAACATTTTTAGTTATTGATAGAAACATCCAATCTAGTTTCCAAAAAGACATGAATTTACACTCCTAAAAGCTGTATCTACTCTATGACTGCCAGAAATGGACTTTTTAAACATTTGCTAACCTGACAGGTAAGGAATTGCTCCACATGACTATTTTGTTTCATAGCGACCTGTGCACCGGCATCAACTTAATCAACTAAGGGTCTGAAATTTCTTCCAAATTATGAAAACAAGGGTATTTTTATCCACCCTAAATCTCCCTCCTTCAAATTTTTAAGAAATTCCTTCTACTTCCAGTGACTGAGAAATTGCGTTCCAGACCCATGTAAACGCTCCTTGGTTAACAGATTCTAATTCCTTATTATCTTAATGGCTATGTTTGCAATACAGAGTTACTAAATAAGTTTCAATTTCATCAAAAATTTTGGCAAAATTATATTACCATTATGAAAATTTTAAAAATCACGAAGACAATACCTTTTCCTCATTTGCTGTAGAAGAATCTGGATCCTTTCTTTTCTTCTTCAATTTTTTATCTTTACTTTGTTTTGTGCCAGAAGTCTGATAAGGTTGCAAATCTACTCGAGAATGAAATTGATAGCGACCACTTTCCACATCGCAGTAGTAATAAATTCCAGTGGAAGGATCGTAATATAATTGATTTTCCTTTTAAAAGCAAGAAAACAGTAAGTACTATTTATGTAAGATAAAATAGAAAAATAAACAATAAAAATCTCAAACATATTCAAATATAGTAAATGTTTACTTTTTAAGAACTACAGCATTTTCTGAAGATAGTAAATAAGAGTATCAGAGTGAAAAATACTTGTAATTTTTCAAAATACTTTACCATTTAATATCTGCTCTAATTTTCCTAAGGCGAAAATGAGTACATTTAAATATTAAATTGAATCATGAAATTGCCAACATTTGATCATTTTTTAACTTTCAAAGACAGCAATTTTATACGGTTCAACTTAATACAGCAATGAAAAATTATAACAAGAAACCTTTTAGAAGTTATGAAAACTAAGGCAAGCATCAGAAAAAGCTGAGCATGACAGCAATTCCAGACTCATTATCCTTAAGATTACATAGTAATAATTTGGTAATATAAATTCTGAACCCTTTTTTCAATGTCATAAAACAAAGATTTGCATTTTAATGTTTGTGACTGAAAGTCCTGAAGAAAAATTTGTAAATAAAATTAAGTTCATAAATATTAAAACATAACATTCCATACAAAGATACTGATTTTTAAAAAATCATCATCGTCTGCCCCGGCCAGTGTGGCACAGGAGGCAGGAGTGGGACCCTGCACCAAGAGGGCTGCAGGCCCAGGCCCCAGATGGGGCTCGTACAGTGCCAGGCCCAGGTGCACACAGGAGGCAGTCCGCTGATGTTTCTCGCTCTCTCACTCCCCCGTCTCTAAAAACAATGAAAAACATGTCCTCGGCTGAGGATAAAAAAAATTATCTTCACTTAATGAATTCTACAGTAAGTAACTAAAGACTTACAAGTAAAGTAGCCACCCAAAAATAAACTTTGGCAAATTATGGATAAAAACTAGAAAGATAAAATTATGTATTGACTGCATTTTTTAGATACTGGCCAGTATCTATAACCAAGATTTATCTGAAAGGCTGTATTTTCTTTTTTATCATAAATCCATGCATATCAGACCTGGAAACATCTTATGATATACTGAGATTAAACTAAAAATTCCTGGGAAAGAATAATTTATTTTTCTAACTGTTGATGCTGTTGCATTCTATTGTCTTTAATCTACTTTGAAAATCTCTTACAAAAATATTTTGAATTCTATATTTTGCTTTACTAAAAAACTGAATGGACACATTCAAATCTTTATTTCTAGTAATAACAGAACATTTATAACTCAAACTTTTTAATCTCTTAAGTCTTTCAGTCCAAAATAGACATTTTCAAAAATATTTTTACATTTTTATTTAGTTAAAAGGTGAAAACTAGCAAAACAATGGAGTCCCTAATCTACTGCGACATATAACCTGCAGACTATAACTAACCATTTGGAGAACAGGTGTCAGGAGGAAAGATATAGAAAGGAAGGTAGAATGACAGACTAATGTCACATACTCAGAAACTCTGTATTTTCCTAGAAACCAAGTCAAGAATAGCTACTCTCTTTAGTAATAAGAGTTTAAACAATTTTTTTTAAAATTCTCACCCAAAGACATTTTTCCATTGCTTTCAGAGGAGAAAGGGAGAGAGAGAGAAACATGGATGTGAGAGAGAAGCATAGGTTAGCTGCCTCCCAGATGCACCTGCACCAAGGATTGTTCATGCCCAAACCGTGGGATCAAACCCACAACCTAGGTATGTGCACGGACCGGAATTAACCCTCAACCCTTCATTTATGAGACAGTGCTCCAACCTACTGAACCACACTGGCCAGGGCTAAACATTAACTTTCTGGGTATTAACCAGTATTGTCAATTAGCATACTCCTGTGAAAGAAAACCCTCTTTACAGAGGATTTACAAAGTATGTATACAAAATCCCTATCTAAGATACTTAGCATTATCATTATGTTCCCTAGGTTAGTTAACAATACTTCTAGGAACTGGAATCGTGAATATCTGGTCCACTTTTGGGCACTACATTCTGTAATTCCTGAGGATCAGATCACATGCCTAGATCATCAAGGTTGAGATATGTGGGTATGCGAGTTCTATCCTCATTGTCGTCAAACCCTGATTAAAAATCCAATCAAGTACCAGACTTCAACAGCCATCACACTGTATTATAAATCAAGAACTTAATTTTCTGGTTCTGTCCTAGTCAGTGGTCCATTATATTTCTGATTCCACACTCATTTCCTAGTTCTATTAACTGATTTTTAAAAATTGAAATGCTTAAAAGCCACAGACATAAAACACTAATAATAAACAATCTCCTGAGAATTCAAGAAAAAGACACTCTGTGGGAGTCTTACTTCACAAGTATTAGAAATGAAAAAAAATCTCACCACAGGCCTAGAATCAACAATGTTGCTTCTTTATAAATTCTAATAAAACAGTTTACATTCTCAAAATTTTTACAATGTTGTTAACTGTATGGCTTTATCAATAAAAGCTCCAACATTTTTGTATGTTCCTTTAGAAATAAAGGTTATCAGACCTCTCTAAAATATTAACTTATAATCACAGTTAATTTACTTAATTATAAACCTAGAAGTGTAATATCATAAGCTATTTTGTAATTCTTTACTCATCAAACACCTTTGCATCAAACATAATTTTTAAATGCAGCTTCTTGCTTTTCTTAGTTCAGCTTAAGGTTTAATATTCGGTATCAAGCATTGAAGTGTAAAATTACTGTATTAAGAGGTCTCAGATACTTACAGAATCATAATAGAAGCCAGTGCTGTGGTCAAAATACAGTCCAGTGTTCTCATCGTAACTAAATCCAGTCTGTGACACAGCAGCTTCTGCTGCAGCTCTCAAACTTTCAGCTAAAGATGAACCTTCTAAAGATGTATCTTCTGTTGCTAGAACAGAGGCTGGCTCCTAGGTAAGATATTCACATCAAGTAAGACAAAATGTCCTTAATCAACTTAAAAGTTAGCAAAATTTGAAATTATAACTACATTTAAAAGCTATTTTAAATAATGATTTCAATTTCTGCAATGGAAAAAGTGGCTATCAATTACAATTTGCTCGACTTTAAAAAGTATTTACTAGTACATCAGTTAATTCAATTTTGACCCAGTTTTGAAGACACTAGAAATTAGTGAGTGACCATTACTCACAAATAAATGCCTGCTACTACAGGGAAGTAATCCACAAAATACAGACTCTGAAGTATTCTTTAAGACAAATGATCTAGATTCTTCCATAATCACAGGTCCAAAGGGAAAAAACATTTTAAGAGATAGAGGAGAAAGCTATGGGTTATGTGAGATTTATTACAGCATCAGCAGTTGCACTGTATGAACCTCACTGGGATCCCCATTATACAAACTATAGAAAAAATCTGTAAAACATTCAGGGAAATTTGAACAGTGGCAGGATATATGACATAAAGGAAGCATGAAAAATTTTTTGTTGTGAACGAGGTTATTGTGCTGGTAGTACAAAATTTTTTGGTTGAGTCAAAATATCCTGACAAATTTTATTTTAGTTTATGTATATCCTAAGTTTTTAGAACACAACCAAGTAGGAAACAAACATATGAACAAGTCAAATTTCTGATTCTCTAAAAATGTAATGTTCTGCGTAATTATACACAGAATATTTACAACCTTTGTATATGTTGTGATAGACCAAATAAGTCAATTTGCATAATAACAATAATGAAGGACAAGTTCTTCGGAATCAAGAGTATCATATTAAGCATTTTATTACCTGTGAATTTGAGGCAAAACGGTCCTCTTGTCCAGATTCAAACTTTTCCGTTACTTCTGTATCAACATAAGCATCATTTTCTATTTGTGACTGGTTTTTAGAATTGTAAGTAGAGGCTTCAATATCCTGATCTTGCTGAACTGAGAGTTCTGTCTCTTTATCTGGAAGGCTAATATCCTTATAGTATGTCTGGTAATAATAATCTATAGCAAAAACAAATTGTGATATGTATTAGAATAATGTATATATATATATATATATATATAAAGACTTCATTCTAAAAAATTGGTACTGAATACAAAACAGCACACACTGCAAACAAACCATGTATTTACACTTGTACAATTTTAACAGATTAAAATTAACAATGCAGACAAATCTGCAGATGCTTTCATCTTTGATTCTAATGTTACTTTAAGTACCCTAGCTGTCAAGCTAAAAAAAAAAAGGTAAGCAGATTTGGATTTTCCACAGCAAGACTAAAAAAAAGAAAACAGGTAGCTAAGTTGTATTCTGTCAAAAGAAATCCTAGCAAATCTGAACAATTTCTAACCACACACTTTAAAAGCATATCAAATGGCAATGGAATAGAGACAACATGTCAAAGATTGATGTCTGTCAAATTTCTCTCATGATGTTGACTTTTTAAAAAATATATTATCATACAGATATGTAACATTAATGCCACTGATGTGTTTAATATTTAGCTAAATTGTGTACTAAATAAAACAAAGCAAAACTTAATGGGAAAAATTGTTTCTTTGACCTTTATTAAAACTCAGTTGCTAGGTTATTTTGCCTCACAACATAATGCCACAGATGAGGTCATGGTTGTGGACTCACCATTGCCACACACTGAACAGCCTGGCACTGAGCACAGTGCTAAGTGGAATCCATCAACAAGAACACACATGCCCCTGGTTGCACGGAAGACCATAGATGAGAGTAAATGGCTCACAGCATGGCAGAAGTTACTCAGTGAATGTGCCCTTGGCAACACAGTAGTAATACCACCTATTTATAGGAATGATAATACATTTCTACTTTTGCATCAGAAGAGCAATTCAATTATCTTAAAATACCTAATCACAGGGAGAGAAGACAGTTCTCACATTTATCTAGACATTTGTCTACTTTACATTTAAAGAAAACTCCATGTTGGTATGATCTGAATGTGACAGTGTTAGGCTATCTCCACTCTCAACAGAATACCTGAGATTGACCACGGAGGGTGGCTCTCCGTTTGTACTTCTACATCAGACTTCTTACTGTCTTCGTTCCTCCCACAATATAGTATCTTACTGAGCTCTTCCACCTAGAAGAAAAAAAGGCTTTAGGGAAAATAAATCATATAGCAATCTAATTATATGCACATCATTCTCCTCAAATTACAATAATTATTTTTTCTTGGTAAAAGCTTTAAAGGAGCACCAATAACAGCTAGTTTCCTTTTCAGAAAAACTGAAATCCTATCACTGAATTTCTTTCATCTTTTACATTCACAGAGGGAGAGTTTGTTCCTAATTTTTTACCTATTGATTTCAGAGAGAGAGGCATTGCTTCACCCATCCATGCGCCCACTGGTTGACACCTGTGTGTGACCCGAGCAGGAATTGAACCCACAACCCAGGCATATCAGGACAACACTCCAGCTAACTGAGCTACCTGCTCAGGACCACATATTTTTAATATTAAGTCTTATACTTTCTTGTTAAAGCCCAAAATATCCCCTTTGAAAATCAGATTGACTAAATTAATAGGCCTTTGAACAGAATCCTTTATTTCTAAAATATAACTAGGTTTTTATACTAATATTTTATTTGGTCAGTTCTCTTTAAATTAGAAAAAGCATTAATTCCCATGCATTGAATTATAAAATTCTTTAGTGTACATTTTTCCTTTAAATAGTAGTCTAATGACTGAATGACTACAGCAGAAGAAAATGGAAGTGACTGCCTCAGAGAGGCATCTATTCTCCCTGTGCCTCACCGACTGCCAAAGCCAGAGCACCAGAGTGCAGAAACCCATAAGCCGATGAGCAGCCTCATCAATACACCTCAGTTAGACAAAATCTAAGCGTGACATGTCTATTACAGGCATAAAACTAAAAAACAAGCTTCTAAATATTTCTTTAATGATACAGAAAGCTTAAAAAGAGAAAGGTTATAAAACTGATTATATACAGATTATCTAAGGCACTTTATAAGTTATCAGAACTGCTGATACAACCACGGCTAAAACCAGAGAGAAGCAAGCAAGGCACCTAGAGAGCTAATTAAGGAGGCACAAAGTTTCAGCTTTCCTGCAAGTACAGGGTCTATACCTGAGAATGAGTGCTACCTTAAATTTTTCACCCTAAACTACTGATTGGCTTGCCCTAGTCCAAGCTCTGCTACTACCACTATTGCTGTGAAGTAGTTCATGTATTTAGTATTTTTAGTATTTGCTGCATGCTAGACACTATATCTGACACTCTGGATAATGTCCTAATTCTTACAACCACCTTACAAAATAGTTTTCCTAATCCCCATTTTACATGTGAGAAATCTGAAGACACAAAGTAATTTGCACTAATGCTTTTTTTAAATAGTAGTCTCCAAAACCTGTGTATATTATGTTTTCCAACAATTCATCTTCAATTCTCAACCCAATTTTTTACTGCTCCAGACAAAATACTATTTAGTAATCTGGGGTGACAGTTAACAACCAAACTCCACTGCCACACAGGGAGGCTGACCAAGAAGACAGTAAGGAGCAACTACTACCACCAACAGAGTTGAGGTTTCCATGCACTTCAATTTTTCATGTTAGACCTCTATTAAATTAACACCAAATAACCAAAATGCTGTCTCTTCAAAGATCAGTAAAAATGCTTTTTTTAAAAGGATCTCTATAGCAAGCAATAATGAACTGGGAATTATAAAAAGTTTTTTTTTTAAAGGCTGTCATATTTTTTCCCCTTCCCCCAAGACATTTTAACAATCTAAATTTGTAACTCCTAGCACAGTCCGTATACATTGCAGGTGTTTAAGAACTAGGTGTTGAGTAAACAAACTGAAATTTTGTATCATCATAAAGTCAATAACTATGCAAAGGTACAAGTCATTGCAACTCAGCCATTATTTTCATAGGTCATTTGGTCATAAAGCATAACAAAGTATGATGATATTTTAGGGTTCAGACTACACATGTGGTTTTATGAAAAGTACCAATTTATTACAATGGACTAGACAACGGCTTAATTGAAATTAATAATTATGTGAAAATAGTTTATCAGGACACAGTGTAACTGCCAAGTGAATCAAGATGGAAAAAATGTGTTACACTGTTTCAGTTTTTTTAGAAACGTTAAAATATTTGTCCTTACTGTATTTTATAAAAATGACGTGAGCTGCTTACTATCTCTAACAAAGTTGTATCTTCCCTACTTCCACCAAAGAACTCAAAATGATGACCTCCCAGAAGGCCAACCTTACCCATAGTGCTCAACAGTTTGTTCACAATTAATTTGATTTAACCTCCACCTGTGTGGTACTAGCATTCTCATTTCATGGGCAACCGACGTTCTCTATCAGTTGGCATATCTAGTGATGGGATTCTGATTCAAGCCCAGCGCTTTAACAAACTCAAAAGTGATCTAGAATAAAATATTATAAATGTGCCTACTGCCAATGAGCAGTACGGACAAGTGAGAACGAAGACAATCTCAAAGTACAGTCCAATTCACAGCCATAACTTTTGCTCACGCACTTAACTACATGTAGTAACCCGAACTTAGGTTTGCTCCAAATGTACTTGGAATTATGATCGTACTGAACTTGTATTTCTTTCAAGTACTCTACAAAGTAGTCCTGAGCCTGCCAGGGGCCCTTCTAAGACTATCAGAGGCTTCCAAGGCCTGGTCTTGGGCTGGATGGGGAGTAGGGCAGGAGGCGGACCGGGCACCTGTGTGCGGAGCTCCTGGTTGTTGCTCTCGGCGCTCTGGTACAGTCGCTCTGTGTGGTGCAGCAGTTTCTCGATCTCCCGCACCTGCCGCTTGCAGCTCCGCAGCTCTCGTTCCAACTTCTCCACCTTCCGTCTCAAATGGGCCAGCTCAGGCTCAGGGGAGGTGGGTGGCGAGGGTGACAATGAAGGAGACGGCGCCTCGGAGGCCATGGGGTCTGGCGCGTGGCGGCCCGTGGGCGCGGAGGGGCTGCGCTCAAACTAAGGTGGACGCCGGGGGCCCCAGAAGCCATGCGAGTGCACAGGCAGCGGAAAGCGGCCTTATACCTGCCCGGCCGCGGCGGCCCCTGGACATGACGCCCTGAAGCTCGTAGCGTGTAGCCGAGAGCAACTGCAGCCTGCGAGCGAGAGGAAGGCTGATGGACTCAGCCCGATCCACTCGGCTTTGAAACAGGAAAACTTTATTGGTAATACCTTCCCCAGCGACCCAAACAGCCGCAGGATCCTTAAAGAAGTGGGAGGCTCCGAGAAACAAGAACCAAAACGACTCGGGCGGTTCCTGGGTTGAACCGGAAACGATGGTGCCCGTGGTGGGCGGGACCCGAGACAGAATGGGAAGCGACGGGCTGCGGGAAGGACCTCATGGTGCACATGCGCACTTCCCGCCGGCTGCTGGGCGTGGGTCTGGGTCTCGTGTGTGTGTGTGTGTGTGTGTGTGTGTGTGTGTGTGTGTGTGTGTGTGTGTGTGTGTGTGTGTGTGTGTGTGTGTGACTAGTCAATAATAGAGTGGTTACCTTCTAGGCAATAAATCAACTAAATCCTACAGCTAATGTGATCTTCAGTTTTTTTTTATAACTAGTAGATGCTGTGGAAATCACAAAATTGCTCCAATATTTTATCCATCCTGTATCCATATTTTTTGCTGTGTGACTTTGTGGTTCCCTTCACTACAGAGGCAGACTCTCCCCTCCACCTTTGCATCTGGCCAGTTGAGTGAAGTGATTGTCATAACAATAGACCAGTTCCTGGCCTAGGTCTCAAGAGGTGTTAGTGTTTATGCTTGCTTTCCTGGATTCCTAACATTTCCATGAGAAAAACATACCCAGGCATGCCTGCTGGTCTCTGAAGGAGGATAAGTGACACATGGAACAGCTTTATTGCAGGTAAGGCACTCCAGCTAAGCCAGCCTAGAGCAGGGGCCCCAGGAAACCCTCAGACAGTTAGCAATCACTAACTGATAGTGGAGATCAGCCAGCCCCCCAACCTCACCCCAGGCTTGAAAACACTAATAGATAATGTTTGTTGCAAGCCACTGAGTTGGGAGTACTTTGTATGTAGCAATGACTGATACCCAACCTGACTTAGAGCCATTCCAAAAGCCTATGAGTTTCAGCAGACTGGAATCCAAGTACCTGACATATTACTATATTCCATAACAGGAATATTGTCAATTAAGTGAAACCTGATTTATATCCAATTTCTTTTAGAGTATCATCAATTCTATATTTAATGAACATTTACCTGTCATAATTTATGTTGAATACAATGGGTAGCCAACTCTCTCCTACCTGATCCTACTGTTTGATGTCACACAAGAATATCTGGGGAGCCATAGCATTTCGGTAGTTCTGATTTATTGCTCCATATTTTAGTCAATTGACCATTACCTGTTTCCTCCCTCTAGAGGCCCAAGGAAAGAATAAGTGGGTGTAACACTAAAACACCTGTGTGATGATGATAAAGGAAGAAAGCCAAAGGAAACTGGGAAGATCTGTCTTCTCTGCCCCCAGCTGAATACTTACATTTTGCACCTTCATTTTATGATTGTATAATGAGTAATGAATAAAAAATTACTACACTATTGTAAATTGTCCCATACTCCCCACCCCCAGTGCAGTCTATCGTGAAAGGTTTAGGAAGAGAAAGAACTATTATTAGAGAAGGCAAGAAGCTTATGGAAGGACAGATCTTATCTAAGACCAGAAGGAAACAAGAGAATGGAGGAAAGAGGAAACAGCGGGCGAGAGACTAGAATGGGAGCCAGGAAATGTTGCTCGAGCAGAGACAGCATGTCCTATACTGGCAGAGTTGGGCAGGGGGATCAGAGAAAGGACTACCATGAGGACTATTTACTCAGGGACTAAAAACTGCTTGAAAACAAAGCCATCAGAAAGTAGTTTACCGTGCCTCCGTTCAAGGGAGTACCAGGAGGCTCTGGTAACTGCCCACCCCTGGGGTCCATGAGTACTTCTTTCCTTCAGCATCCTCCTCTACAGGTTGCCTAGAAGAAGTTGAAGACCACCCCCTCTCCCCTACGTTTCCCATGCATTCCCTAATGCATATAATAGTCCCAAGATATCCATGAACCCATAGGAGAGAGAGGACAGGAGCCTCTAGTGGAGTAGGGATGGGGAATGTCTCATGTTTGTTTTGGGGTGGGGGTTAATGAATGAATCTATCTTGATGCTGGGGGAGCCTTCTTCTCTCCCTGTTGTTTCTCCCCAACATAAAGCAATAGTTACTGATGATAATTCTCTTGTAAAAATTAAAAATATCTAAGAATATAAGAAAGAAAATTTAAATTTACTGAAAGAAACATTAGAATGCCAGGAATACATATTTACCTTCTCATTATCTCAATAAGGGCCTGGACATGACCCTATCATTTATTTAAATACATGTCCATCTTGCCTCTTTATGATTATGAGGATTTAATGTGAGACTCTGATGAATGAATATTTAACTAACAAAGTCATGGTATTAATTTGTTGGAACAGTCTGAAAGAAAAATGACAAAATGTTTGTAAGCCTAATGACTTCTTTATTATCATCGTGTTTATTAAACACAGTCACCGTGGCTGGTATGGCTCAGTGGATTGAGTGCCAGCCTGCAAAGCCAAGGGTCACTGGTTTGATTCTCAGTTGGGGCACCTGCCTGGGTTGCGAGAGCTGGGTCCCTGCTGTGGGGTACACGAGAGGCAACCACACATTAATGTGTCTCTCCCTCTCTGTCTCCCTCCCTTCCCCTCTATAAGTAAATAAATAAAATCTTTAAGAAAACATACTCATGGTAATCTGTTGGGGATTAAATGTACCTATGTATAAAATAATGAAGAACAAATTAAGATTTATCAATGTATGCCCAAAACCTAGAAGAAAAGACAAAGCTGGGGGCTTACATAGCTCATTGGGATTACAGAGGACGTCAGTTAGCATAGGATTAACTTGATAAATTAGTGAAATGGCTTAAAGGCAACCAAGATGTGTGGAGTAGTAAAATAACAACTTTTAGATGGAGACAGTTTAAATCTCAGCTCAGCTGCCTACTTAATGTCCTCACTTAATGTTGTCAGTAGGTCCTTGGAAACTGCAACTTTTAATCAAAATGACATTTAGCAAAACTAATACCCTAAGATAATTGATATAAAGAAAAGTTAAGTTCTTATGTCATATTTCTGGTCACAAAAGTATCACCAAACTCCTAAATAAAGACCCAAAACATTTTTAACATTGAACATTGAAATAAATGTGAGCTATACATATATTTATGAAAGGTTAATAAAACCAGGACTTCCGGCAAGATGGAGGCATAGGTGGACGTACTGTACCTCCACGCACAACCAAGATTAGAACAACAACAATTTAGAGGCAGAATAACACCCAGAACTGATAGAGAATTTATCTGAATGGAAGTCAGACAGCCAAGAAGTTAAAGTAGACCCGTTCATCCAGACCGGTAGGAGGGGCGGAGAGGAGCAGGCGGGTGCGGGTCGCAGCGTGCAGAGAACAGGGAGCACTGGGCGCATAAGGCAACCGGGAGCTCGGAGCTCCGTAGGGCATCTGGGGTGCACAAGATCGCAGCGGGTGGACCCTGAGTACGCAAGCGGTAGCTGGTGGACCCAGTGAGACAGCAATTGTGGACCAGGGCAGAGAGTGTGGCCCAGAATCCCAAAGAAGGGACTGAGGTCCCAGGAGAATGGAGCTACCGGTATTGTTCTCCCCCCACCCCCACATACAACGTCACAATCTAGCAACTGGGGTGCCCAGCCCTGGTGAACACCTAAGGCTCCGCCCCTCACCGTAACAGGAGCAACATGTCTCAAACAGAAAAACAGATCAATGCCCCAGGACTCATCCTTTTGAGTGACCAAGAGATAGCCAATCTATCAGATGCACAGTTCAAAACACTGGTGATCAGGAAGCTCACAGAATTGGTTGATTTTGGGCACAAATTGGATGAAAAAATGCAGGTTACCATAAAAGAGATGAAGGAAGATGCACGGAGAACCAATAGTGATAGGAAGGAAACTGGGACTCAAAACAAGAGAGTGGACCCGAAGGAATTAAAAAACAACCAAACAGGAAAGAACGGAGAAATAAGAATTCAAAAAAACAAGGAGAAGCTTAGGAACCCCCAGGACATCTTTAAACATTCCAACATCCAAATTATAGGGGTACCAGAAGGGGAAGAGGAAAAGCAACAGATTGAACATGTATTTGAACAAATAATAAAGGAGAACTTCCCCATTCTGGCAAAGAAAATAGACTTCCAGGAAATCCAGGAAGCTCAGAGAGCCCCAAAGAAGTGGGACCCAAGAAGAAACACACCAAGGCACATCATAATTACATTAGCCAAGGTAAAAATGAAGGAGAGAATCCTAGAAGCAGCAAGAGATAAGGGGACAATAACCTACAAAGGAGTTCCCATCAGAATGTCAGCTGATTTCTCAAAAGAGACCTTACAGGCAAGAAGGAGCTGGAAAGAAGTATTCTAAGTCATGAAAGAGAAGGACCTATATCCCAGATTGCTCTATCCAGCAAAGCTCTCATTTAGAATGGAAGGGCAGATAAAGTGCCTCTCAGATAAGGTCAAGTTAAAGAGTTCATCATCACCAAGCCCTTATTTTATGAAATGTTAAAGGGACTTATCTAAGAAAAGAAGATAAAGAAAAAAAACATGTATAGTAAAAGGACAGCAAACTCACAATTATGAACAACCACACCTAAAGCAAAACCAAAAGAAACTAAGCAAACTAGAACAGGAACAGAACCACAGAAATGGAGATCACATGGAGGGTTAGCAACAGGGGAGTGGTAGGAGGAGGGGGGGGGCACAGAGAATAAGTAGCATAGATGGTAGGTTGAAAATAGACAGGGGGAGGGTAAGAACAGTATGGGAAATGTAGAAGCTAAAGAACTTATAAGTATGACACATGGACATGACTAAAGGGGGGGATATGGATGGGAGAGGGTGTACAGGGTGGAAGGGAGTGAAGGGGGGAAAATGGGACAACTGTAATAGCATAGTCAATAAAATATATTTTAAAAAAAGAAAGGTTAATAAAACCAAGTGAGATAATGACTTTCTACCCTGCTTATCCCAGTTCAGGGCCCAGAGCCTGTCCCGGCAGCTCAGGGCACAGGGCTGGACCCACCCTAGACAGGACACCTCTGTTTTACAGGTGAGGATTGAAGCCTAGAGAGTAAGTAACACAGCCAGTGGGAGTCAGAGCTTGGGTTCAAATTCAGACAATCTACTTCCAGAGGTAGCATGCCTCTGGACA